CAGGAGAATTGCCTGAACCCAGGAGGCGGAGGTTGCGGTGAGCCGAGATCGCGCCATTGCACTCCAGCCTGGGTAACAAGAGCGAAACTCTGTCTAAAAAAAAAAAAAAAGGAAGCATTGTCAGATTGCATGGAAGTAGGCAGGCCAAAGCGGGGAATGATACCATTTAATAGACAAGACAAGCAGTGGCCTTTTCTGTTCCAATAGGGAAGGCTTCAATCCACCTTGGAAAGGTATCCACGCATGTAAGAGGATATTCGAATTTCTTGACACAGGGCATACGAGTAAAGTGAATTTGCCAGTCTTGCATGGGGGTACATCCCTGCGCTTGGTGAGTGGGAAAAGGGGGAGGTCTTAAACATCCCTAGGGGTTTGTAGAATGGCAGAGGGAGCCCTGAGATGTCATTGTTTTAAAAATGGACTTCCATGAAGGGAAGGAGAGGTTCTAAGAGATAGGCCAAAGGCTTATATGCTTCATGAAAGTGGTTGTGAAGGACGAGAGGATAGAACGGGCTTGCCAGGCAGGAAGAAGGAATTTCCCCTGATCCAAAAGCCAATTGCCTGGAGTGGGAAGCGACTAAGTTAAGGATTCAGGAGACTAGCAGGAGTTAATTGTCGAAAAGGAAAAATATTGTCCACTAGGGAGCAATATTGGTGCGTTTGCTGCCTGTTCAGCTGTCTCATCGGCATAAGCGTTTTCTTGGGCCGTGGGATCTAGAGGTTTCTGGTGCTCTTTACAGTGGACAACTCCAGGCTTGGCTGGGAGAAGGGCGGCTTTAAGGGGAGCTTTTATGAAAGAAGCATTGATAATGGAGCATCCTTGTGTAGTGAGGAAGCCCCTTTCTGCCCCGATGACAGCGTGGTGACGGAGGATGTGGAAAGCCTGCTTGGAGTCGTGTAGATGTTGACTCAGCCCCTTTTCCAGGGTGACAGCCGTGTGAATGCCATCAGTCCAGCTTGCAGAGAAGCAGCAGACGGAAGAAGGGTGGCAGCCTCGATGACAGAAGTGTGGGAGGCAGCAGCACGGCCAGCCTTCCCTGGAGAGAGCTGGTTAGGTTTTGATGAGCTGCCATCAGTAAACCATGTATGGTCAGAGTCTGGAATAGGGGAAAGAGAGATGAGGTGTGGGAAAAAGGGGAGACAGCAGTGCGGATTAGGGGGATACAGTCGTGTGGTGCAAGGTTTGCATTCATGTGTGGTGTTAGATGAGGAGCCGGAGGAAAATCAGGGCCACATGCCGTAGTCACAGTGGGAGTTTCAATAAAGAGCAAGCAGAGTTGGATAAGACGTGGGGCAGATAACAGATGCGGAGAGGACCCTCCAGCCTGAAGATTGTGGGCGCTGTATCGAGTGAGCGAGGCACACCTGTGACTTTGAGAGCTTCAAGGAGGAGAGCGGCGGCCGCTGCCGCAGGTTGGCACGAGGGCCAACCTAGGACCGTGAGGTCAAGTTGTTTAGAGAGGAAGGCAACAGGACGTGGACCTGGCTCTTGTGTAAGAACTCCAGCCACACAACCCTGAATTTCAGCAGTGTATAACGAAAAGGGTTGGGAGAAGTTAGGGAGAGCCAGAGCGGAGCAGTTTCTAGAGCTGCCTTTTTTTTTTTTTTTTTTTTAAAGGGGAGAGCACGAACGCAGTCCCCCACTACCACAAATATGCAGTCAGGTTTCCCACATTTACGGAAATCACAGGGGTCGGCACCTTCGGAGTGCAATGGATAAGCCTCGCCCTGGGAAAACCACCTTCGTGATCATGGTATCTCCCTGTCGGGTTAAGTATTAGAGCTGTCGGCTGGGCGCGGTGGCTCAAGCCTGTAATCCCAGCACTTTGGGAGGCCGAGGCGGGTGGATCACGAGGTCAAGAGATCGAGACCATCCTGGTCAACATGGTGAAA